AGCCCAGGTTCCCCAGCAGGCAGGCCCAGCAAGGGGGGCTCTTAGGTGGTCAGCCCCGGCTGTGCCCAGCCCCGGCTGGGCTCCGATCCCGTTTCGACAGTGGGGTGGTGACCATTGTTCTCTTGTTGTTACAGGGCACAAACTGCTGCTCACAGAGGGCATTTCAGAGGCTTGGGATCTGCTCAGGGCCCACTCCCCAAGACCAGCGCATCCCCTGAGGATGCCATAATCAGCCGCCACTGGGCACTAGCTAGTAGCGAATTCAAAGTCTGCCACCAACTCAACTGCTAATTAGGGGCAGAGGAAGGGATCAGAATCACAGGCTCACAGCAGCCCCACCCCTGGGGTTTCAGCCAGAGGACTGTGGCTGATCCGAACTCCCAACTCCTGGATGTGGAAACACAGGGGCAGCCTGCCCTTGCCCTCAGCCTGCACCTGGGTGAAGGCTGTCACTCAACAGGGGAGGGGCGGATGTCTTAGTGCCTGGCGCAGTGCAGCTGTGCATGGGTTAGGCACCACGCTAGCACACAGAGGCTGAAGTTTGAGGTGTTGGAGGAGCAGGGATGATCCAAAAGGCCTGGCTGTTGCAGGGCCATAGCTTTACTTTGGCTCCAATGATGTCTTCTTGTTTTTCTTTGCTTAGGTGCTCATGTGGCTCACGTTGTAATCTTAGTGACTCAGGAAGCTGAGATTTGAGAATCAGCGTTTGAACCTAGCACAGGCAGAAATGTCTGTGAGACTCTTATCTCCAGTTCACCAGCAAAAAGATGGAAGTTGAAGTGTGTGGTTCAAGAGGTAGAGTGTCAGTCAGTCCTAAGCAGATAAAAGCCAAGCAAGAGTGTGAGGCCCTGAGTTCAAATCTCCGTACCTAAAGGTAATCATGTTTATTGTCCCAGTGTCAAATCCATGCAGATTGGAAGCTAATGTTTGGGCCAGGCCAGCACCTTGGGGTGTGATGGGGATTTCCTCTCTAGGTTTTGGACCCTAAGGCAGCATCTCCCTCAAGTGGGGATCATAACAACTCCCGGCTGGGACTGGAGGGGGAGGGTAAGCACTCCTGGGCTCTCCTTCACCTCCCCTACAGCTGGAGGCAGTGGGAGGGTCTTACAAGGGACCCCTGTGATCTCAGGAGACTGTGTAGAGCCCGCGGTGCGCATCCCACCATGAAATCCTAATATCCACTGTGACCGCTGCAAGGGTCTGAGGACCCCGCCTGCCTAGCTTCAACGTGTCTCTTTCAGGGACCAGGGGACGCAGTGGGTAACCCTCAGGGGCCTCTAGACCTGATCAGGATGCCCACTTTGCCCCCAAGCTCTCCCCTGGGGTCGCCCTCTGCCCCTGGAGCACTCCAGAGATTGGGGAGGGCGGGGGGACCCACTCTGTGAGGCCGGAAGCAAAGCGGGGGGGGGGGGTTCTTGTCTTTGGACTCTCAGGGGAATCGTGGAAGGTCCTTTTAGGTTGTCACTGAGGCCCGGGATGAGCATGCATGCTTGCATGCGCCCTCTAGGACTTGTTACTTCTGATGAGGAAGTGTGGAGGTGTGGAGCGGGTTCGAGGCTCTTGAAGTGCCTTCCATTGGATTTGTATCACTCAACGCCTTGCAGAACTTTCCTCCTGCTGCACAGGCAGCTAAAAAGCAGAGAGGCCCTGGCCTGCTCCTTCCTCCTTTCTCCTCCTCCTCCTCCTCCCTTGGTCTGGGGAACCGAGGTTCCCTGGGTTCTGGGTGAAGCAGCGTTTCCTGTCCCTGCGAAGCAGGAGCCCGTGCTCGCCAGCCCCCTTTTCATGGACGCAATGCATTTGCCCCGGTGCCTTACAGGACTAACACACTGCGCACTCCCTCCCGAGAAGCATTTAATGTGGAGATGAGATGAAAGTCCTTGGCGAGCTGAGTGGTCCAGGAACCTCTCATGGAGGCGACCTGGGAGCTGAGCCCAAAGGGAAGGTTGGCAGAAGGTCCCCGGGGCTGGAGGAGTGTCCTCCTGCGTGGGGACCCCACGTGTGGAAGCTCCAAGGGGGGAGCCAACCCTGAAACACTGGTGCAGCGCCTGGCGCTTGGGTCAGGGGGCTTTGTGAGAAGAGAGATTGGGGTATGGCCAAAGGGGGGGGTGTCCCCCAGTAACAGGGGAAGTGGTAATGGTCTAAATATCATAGCTGGACAGGCGCTTCCCCCCCCCCCCGTGAACCTTTCTGTGTCCCCCGCCCGCTCCCTCCCTCCGGGATTTCAGGAACAGCACGGCAGCCTCTAGGAGAGCATCAAACCCCGAACGGGTCCCCAGCTCCAGACCCAGAGCCTGGGGCCTTTCGCCCCTGCCACCACCTGAGGAGTCTCTTGGACGCTCGTGCTGGAGTGGGGAGCAGCTGGGTGGGGCTCAGCTGTGGGGCAGATCTGCCATGGACACCCCAAACTCCCCTCTTCCGGCTGTGCCCACCCCAGGGACAAGCCACCCTCTCCACTCCAGACGGCACCCAGAGAATGTCCAGTGCTGGTCTAGCACGCCAGGAAAACGGAGGTTTGGATTCCCTTGTAGAAAGGCAGTTGCTTCCTGTGGAGTGAAATGGCATTTGTCAAACCCCGGATGTGTGCACAGTGGGTGTCATTTAATCCCTCTGCGGGCACAGAGGCTGGGTCTTTACCATCATCATCATCATCATCATCATCACCTGCAGATTCCCTGCTGCTCTCCGGGGTGAAGGTAGACAAACCAGGGAGCAAGCCCAGGGCTGTGCAAACAAAGCGTGGGGTGAGCCTCCCCAGGGGGTGGGCTTCCGGGGGCCCTCCACACCTCTGTACGCTGCCATCCCCCATCCAGCTTGCTTTGCTGGCATGTCGGGCCCCTTTCATGCTGGCTGGCTTCAGTTTCAGCCAGCTCTCTCTTGCCCCCCACCCCCACCCCTGAGCACCCAGGGTTTTGTTGATGCTTTGGGCTTGTCCTGAGTTGATCTCTGCCGGCAAGCTCCTGAGAGCAGGCTGGGGTTGTAAAGTATTTTAATTTGATTTTTTTTCTTCTCCTTACTGTGTGAGCGCAGGTACATTGGCTTGAACTCAAGACCTGGGCGCTGTCCCTAAGCTTTTCCACTTGAGGCTGGCACTGCCACAGCTTCATTTTCAGCTTTTTGGTAATTAATTGGAGATATGAGTCTCACAGACTTCCTTGCCTTCGCTGGCTTGGAACTGCAGTTCTCAGATCTCAGCCTCCTGAGTAGCTAGGGTGCCAGGCGGGCGCCACAGGTGCCTGCCTTGTTTTGATTCTTCAGTGCGGCCCTTGGTCCAGCCTTCCTGGGGCTTCCAGTGCCCTATGTGTGCAAGGGCAGTTTAGTCTGTGCCAGGCTCTGCCCAGGCATTGTCACGCTGCCACACCCCATCCATACCAGGGTCTCTAAAGGAGACCCTCGCAGAGGGTGGCGGCAATGCATGAGGTCAAGCAGCAGCCCAAGACTACCAAGCACTGAGGCCCTGCAGACCTCCCAGCTTCCCCCAGAGCTTCCAGGGGGCTGGGGGGGGGGGAGAAGAACTCCAGAAATGGGCATGGCCACTTAGCTGAGGGAAGAAGGCAATGCCTGTCTTCCTGTCAGGTTTGTGTTCCCTGGGAGAAGCTAGGCCTCCAGGCAGGGGAACTCCAACCCCTCCTCCCCCAATAAATTGAGCTTCTCTGGTGCTGGGTGGCAGCTGGGCCGTGGGCCATCAGGCTCAATACACAGGACAGGTTTTTGGGTGGGGGTGGGCTGGGTGCACCCACAAGTTCCATACAGAGAGCACTGCCCGTGATGCCAGGGGCGGACAGCAGGAAGGGATGGAGCGCCCTGCGGGTTGGACGGAACGCTCTGCGGGTTGGACAGAGCGCCCTGCAGGTTGGACGCAGCACTCTGCGGGTTGGACGCAGAGCCTTGCGGGTTGGACGGAGCACTCTGCGGATTGGTTGGAGCACCCTGCGGGTTGGACGGAGCACTCTGCGGGTTGGACGGAGCACTCTGCGGGTTGGGCGGAGCACCCTGTGGGTTGGATGGAGCGCTCTGCGGGTTAGACAGAGCACTCTGCGGGTTGGTTGGAGCACCCTGCGGGTTGGACGCAGCGCCCTGCGGGTTGGACGGAGCACTCTGCGGGTTAGACAGAGCACTCTGCGGGTTGGACGGAGCACTCGCAGGTTGGACAGAGCACCCTGTGGGTTGGACGGAGCGCCCTGCGGGTTGGACGGAGTGCCCTGCGGGTTGGACGGAGCACCCTGCGGGTTGGATGGAGCGCACTGAGGATTGGACAGAGCATCCTGCAGGTTGGACGGAGCACCCTGCGGGTTGGATGGAGCACTCTGCAGGTTGGACGCAGCGCCCTGCGGGTTGGACGGAGCACTCTGCGGGTTGGACGGAGCGTCCTGTGGGTTGGACGGAGCACCCTGCGGGTTGGATGCAGCGCCCTGCGGGTTGGACGCAGCGCCCTGCGGGTTGGACGGAGCACTCTGCGGGTTGGACGGAGCGCTCTGCGGGTTAGACAGAGCACTCTGCGGGTTGGTTGGAGCACCCTGCGGGTTGGACGGAGCGCACTGAGGATTGGATGGAGCGCACTGAGGATTGGATGGAGCATCCTGCGGGTTGGACGGAGCACTTGCAGGTTAGACGGAGCACCCTGCGGGTTGGACGGAGTGCACTGTGGGTTGGACGGAGCGCCCTGAGGGTTGGACGGAGCATCCTGCGGGTTGGACGGAGCGCCCTGTGGGTTGGACGCAGTGCCCTGCGGGTTGGACAGAGCACTCGCAGGTTGGACCAAGCACCCTGTGGGTTGGACGGAGCACCCTGCGGGTTGGACGCAGTGCCCTGCGGGTTGGACGGAGCGTCCTGCGGGTTGGACGGAGCGTCCTGCGGGTTGGACGGAGCGTCCTGCGGGTTGGACGCAGTGCCCTGCGGGTTGGACGGAGCACCCTGCGGGTTGGACGGAGCACTCTGCGGGTTGGACAGAGCACCCTGTGGGTTGGACGGAGCGCCCTGCGGGTTGGACGGAGCACTCTGCGGGTTGGACGGAGCGTCCTGCGGGTTGGACGGAGTGCACTGAGGATTGGACGGAGCACACTGCGGGTTGGACGGAGCACTCTGCAGGTTGGACGCAGCGCCCTGCGGGTTGGACGGAGCACCCTGCGGGTTGGACGGAGCGCTCTGCGGGTTGGACGCAGCGCCCTGCAGGTTGGACGGAGCACTCTGCAGGTTGGACGCAGCGCCCTGCGGGTTGGACGCAGCGCCCTGCGGGTTGGACGCAGCGCCCTGCGGGTTGGACGGAGCACCCTGTGGGTTGGACGGAGTGCTCTGCGGGTTGGTTGGAGTACTCTGCGGGTTGGACGGAGCGCCCTGGGGGTTGGACAGAGCGTCCTGCGGGTTGGATGGAGCGCCCTGCGGGTTGGATGGAGCGCCCTGCAGGTTGGACGGAGCACCCTGCGGGTTGGACGCAGCGCCCTGCGGGTTGTTTTCCCTCTTCTTTCAGCCCTCCCCCAGTTTTTTCTTTAAAGTGATTATTATAATTTTGCAGTTTAAATGGTATAAAGTGGCCACCACGGTTCCTGGGGCATTGAGCCTGTTAGTAATATTAATAACGCGTCACCGATCTCTCTGTGAAACAGCTCATGAGCCTAGACACCACCGGGATGAAGAATGCAAGGAAAATGAATGCTTCCTGCCTCGGAGTCTGGAGGATGATGGTGATTGACTGGAGAGAGAAGAGGATGTCTGGAACATTCTAGTTAAGAAAACAACAACAACAACAACACGAAGACCAGGCTGACATGGCCAGCGTGTGGCATGTGGAGAGTCACGAGCTGTGACCCGCCCTTCAGCGAGGGAGACACAGGGCTGTGATTTGGCTTGTGAAAGTCATGTCTGCTCCAAACCAAATCCACACACCTGGTCTTGGACAGGCAGCTGCTCCTCCGACCTATTCAATGGATACAGCATCAAATAGCCCCATTACTCAGTGGAAGGAGGGAAACCTGGGTGTGAGAAGGCCAAGCTGGGGTCTGTCGTCGGCCACCACATGCAACAGCTGTGTGGTGCCAGGAGAGCACCAAGATCCACCTAGGAAGAATCCGAGCAGTGGCCTGAACTGTCCCAGACTTAGGAGCAAGACAACATGCAGAAGAGCGCCCCCTCTGGGAGGGTGAGGAAGTGCTGCTTTATGAAAACCTAGGCTTTGGAGGCTCTCATTGGTGTGTGTGTGTGTGTGTGTGTGTGTGTGTGTGTGTGTGTGTGTTCTGTCACTCTTGGGCAGGATTCAAAAGAGGCTTGGATCCCAATGACATCCTGTCACTGGTGTCTGTCCATAGCCAGGGGCTTCACCTGGGCCAGGATGGACACGCCGGACTGGATGTAGTTGAAATAGTTCCCCGAGGGAGCTTGACTTCCAGCTGGTGAGGTGAAGGCCTTTCTGCTTTCCTCCTCCCATGCTGTGGTCAGTGCTGGTGTGCAGGGATCCATCTCACAAGGACCCACCGTCTGCGCCTATGCCGCAGCCACTGTCTTGATGGTCTTCATGATTTAACTTGGAATTTGTGCTATGTATGACTGACATCCGATGGTGTTGGAATGATGGAGCGTGCTCTGGGGACTTGGCCAGGCTTCCTCATACCTCCCTGGAGGAGTTCTGGGCTGCATACTTCTCTGTCCCTGGAGAGCCTAAGCCCCACCCAGCCTCTTGTACCCATAATAGAGGCTGCCGCCCCCTACATAATGGAGGCTGGGTGTCGTATGTGTGTAAGGTTTGGGGCATTGGGCCAAGGGAAGAGGAGATGCATGACTCAACTTCCCCTCCTCTGGCCACGTTTGTCAGTGGGCAGGGAGGCGAGCTAGGAGAGAGAGCTTGCGTGCAAAGCTGTTGTTGGGCTTCCAGAATGAGTAGCTCCTCAGTAGCCCTGGGCGGGAGACTACAACCAATGCAAAGGATTTCTTGGATACAGGAGTTCTATTTAGCCACCGATTTCCCTGGGGTTGGTGCCTTCCTGCTCCAGACCCATCCGTGATGGAGCAACTCTGTGCCCGGGCCCAGGGCCCAGCCGGTGTTTCTTCCCAGAGGCTGTCAGAGTGCAGCCTCATAGCTAAGAGGCAAGTCTTCACGGAGTAGGACACCCCCTTCTGGTTGGACCCCAGATGTACAGGGAGGCCACCGTGGCAGCCCGCCAGTGGGAAATGGGCCTCTTCAGGGCCGCAGGTGTGTATTCTAATGAACCCCAGGAAGAAACTGAGGGCCAGAGTTGGTGGCAGTTCCCGAGGGACAGAGGGAGGGATGGTGGAGGACACTCAGGTGACCTGATCCCATTTCAGCCTCTTGTTTCTGCAGCCTAGCAACAGGGTTCCTTTCCAGGTCTTCTGAAGCCAGATGAGGAAGAAAACACCTTCTGGCTAGAAAGCACTCAACAAGCCCCCGGCTTCAATCCCCACAGACCCCCCAGAGGGACTCTCTCAGGAGCCGTCTCCCCCAGGAGCATGAGGAATCCTTCCCTTGCCTCCTTCTTCCTCCTGTCTTTGTCCTGTCCAGACACCTGCTACCCTCTCCCTGCTTTTACCCAGAGGATGCAAGCAAAGATTGTTGCCACTTTTGCACACATCTGTGACCCCAGGGCATGCACAGGGTCTCCCACACTGTGGACAGCAATGCTCATTAAATGAATGATTGATTGGATGAATGAAGCTGTCCTCTGCCCCTGTGCTTCTTAGTGTATTCCTAAGTCCAAGGCACTCATTAATTTAAGGATCCACCGGCATCCACGCATTGTCCACCATCGATCCTGTCCATCACATGCACTACTCATTTATTGAGCACCAGCTGTGTGCCAGGAAGTGGGCTAGGGCTGGAGACACACTGGCAAGGAGAAGCAAAGATGAGGTCTCCACCCTGTGATGCCCAAGGCCTAGTGGAAACACATACTAAAGATGATACAAACACACATGGAACAATCTTGTGAATGATGGTGCTGAGCTGGTGAGGGTTCACCGTGCACCAGGCTATTTAAAACCCTGGGGCTTGAACTCAGGGCCTGGGCTCTGTCCCTGAGCCTCTTTTGCTCAAGGCTAATGGTATCACTTGAGCCACAGCACCATGTCCAGCCTTTTCTGTGTATATGGTGCTGAGGAATCGAACCCAGGGCTTCAGGCATGCTAAGCAAGCACTCTACCACTGAGCCACATTAAAAACCATCTTAAAAAAAAAACCTTAGAAACCATCATTATCCTATGGGTTTTGTTTTCCTCATGAAGCAATGTTTCTTTCTTACAAGAAGGAAAGTCAAGTGCAGATAGGAAATTGAAGTTCAGACAAGGGGAGGTCACCCAGAAGGGGCTGAGGTGCGGCACTGGGATTTGAACTCGGGTCTCTGATTGCTCCACCTGGTGCTCTCTGCAGTGTGCTGGCTGAGGCCTTCTTCCCACACTGACGCCATCAGTGTGGATACATGTCTCCAGTTGTGCTGTAAATGCAGGACAATCAGCGTCGGAGGACTCTGTGTGCGGCTGGAGGGGAGGTAGACGCATCGTCGCTCTGCCAGGCCCCCCTCTGCCCCTCTGGCCCGGTCTTTGATTTAATATTCTGATCAGCAACCCCGTGACGTGGGTGGGTGTCCCTGGATTCCGGGACGGCTGAGTCAGCTGTGCAAGAACCGAATGTGGAATTCAGGTGAAGTCCTGCGTGCTTCCAAGAACACACACGCTTTCAACACATTCACACCAACGGAGCAAAGCTTCTTCCTAGCTTTTACACAATTCACATGCTCCAAATACCCGAACACCGCGGCTGCAAGAAAGTCACATAAAAACACGTAAAGAAGAATGTTTCAAAACATTTAAAAAATCTAACACCAAACAAATCTCTCCTGAAAGTTGACAACTTTCACTGCAGATGGTAAAGAAGCGGGAGCATCAGCCCCTGAGTTTGTTAATAACGGGCTAATAAGAGAATGCTAAGGAAATGGTAAGAGGTTTATCTTCTTGCTAAAATCTCATTTCAAACAATTCTGTTCATCATCCACCTTTTTTCTTTTAACGAGGAATGAAAACAAATGTTTTCTAAAGCTTCAAACCAAAATCTGTGTGTAGCCAAATATTCCACGTCTCTTCCCAGTTGGGAATTCCAGCCCTCTTTGCTTGTTGGTTCATGGCAGTCATATTTTGTTGATCTAAATTCTCCTTTTAGAGTCTTCAGATGCCAGCCCTGTCCTGGGTTCAAATTGGGGACTCTTTTTTTTTTCAAGCCACCAGCACTTAGTTTTTGTTTTAATAGAAATCACACTTAAATGCACTTCTACTGTACTATAAAATCAAGCATCCATGGTCTTATAGAACATATTTCCAATCTATTCCATAGTGGAAACCTAGTGGTTATCAGTTTTTAAACGTTCTTGGTAGAAGTTTTTAAAAGAAGCCATATGCCATTCTGAAGATCTCTTAATGGAAAAGTTCAGCCCCTACACAGCTCCCCCCTTTCTTAAGTAAATCTTTCTCAGATATAAAACAATTTTCAGCTTGTAGTTATTTCTACCAGCATTTTCTTACTTGTTTCTAAATAACATCTCTACACAGATAACCCTTGACTTTTTTTTTTTGCATTAAATTTCATCAGTAGCTTTCTTAGTACAAAGATGACGATTTACTCTTAAACTGCTTTCCCGGGTTTTCCTTTAACCATTTCAATTAGAGTATCATTTTTTCCTTTAAGTCAATACCCAGAGCATACTCTTTTATGAACAGCATGTTTACATGCCACATAATATGCCAGCTATAATTACATTTCCTCTCTTGTGTAACCTTTTGTTTTTGCTCAGGTTGATAACTGCCTTTTTGTTTTATTTGGTTTCCTACATGCCTGTCATTAGCTTATCTCCTCACTGTTCCAGAAACGGAGAAACAGTTCGGGAATATGGGAAAATATTCCCACACACATCAGGTAATCTGCAGCTTCCCGGATGTCCAGTGGCTGATCTGTTTTTCCATCATCACGGAAGCCCCTTCTGCCTATCTCCTTGGTGGAACCCCTAATGTCTTTGGATCGCATGCTTTGTTTGCTTAGTTCATTTCCTGTGTGGGTGAAAGATCTCTTTCAGTAGCTTCCCGAATCAAGCAATTGTTTCTTTTTTTTTCTTTCTTGCATGTTGGACCCTGTCTTCGTTCTGACTGTATATTCCAATGATAGTTTGCTTGAGTGAAGAAGTATTGCTCTCCCAATTGGCAGTACTTCTCTGTGTCTGACTGTTTTCCTCTTTGTGGGTTTGTGGGTTCTTTCCCTTGTTTCTGCGATTCCATCAGCCTATACCTCGTGTGGTCCCCTTTTTATTGTTTATGTTTGGTTCAGGTGAATTCTTTCAATCTGGAAACACATCTGGCTTTCAGCTGGAACAAAGTGCCCGGGATTGAAATCACAATCATTTATCTTTCCCTATTTTTTAAATTTCTTCCTGTTGTTTAGATATTAGGCTACTTAGATGGATCGTTTAGGTTTCCTTCCAAGACAAGGTGTCACTATGTAGCTCGGGATGGCCTCGTGAGCCTCCTGGCTCCGCCGTCAGAGGAGAGCCAGGACTGCAGGCAGGAGACACAGCACCTAGCGGTCTGCTGTCCTTCGGAATTCTGCCTCTGTCGTCTGGCTGAGAGCTGTGCTGACAGGTCTCAAGTACACTGCCGCTGGTGGCTCCTCAGTCTCTAGTAGCACTGGACACAGAGGTGTTTAATGAACACTGGCTAAATGAATATCCCAGTGTTACTGTTAATATGAGGTTGCATGAGGTAGACCGGTAAACCTTTCATCTTAATGCAGGCTTTATGGCAAGATTCCATCTACCAGCCAGTGCTTTACATTCTTCACAGTATTTACCGAATTTTGCATCTGTGTATCCACACAGACCCTTTGCCCCCCCCATATCTCTGTCTCTCTGCTGTTTTTCTTTCTCTGTCGTCTGTCTGTCTCTCACACACATACACCAGGATTGAACTCATAAACTCAAGTTTGCTCAGCTTGCTTGCTAGCTCCGTAGGCTCTCCACCATCTGAGCCATGCTTCCAGCCCTCTGTCTTTCTCTTCTCTATAATATTTGTAGGCCTAGGCCTGTACAGGTAATAGTGGTCTCTGGACCTGGGTCCTCTTGAGCCCCACATCTAGGCTCTGATGTGACCCAGTGCTGGTCCCAGTGATGGACTAAAGCCATCCCATGCCAAGGTTGGGTGCAAATCTCGTGATCCACATAAAAAAGATGGCAGCAATCTGAAAATATATGCTTTGGCTGGAGCTCCATCTTAACCACACTGGAGAATAGATTTTATTCTCTCTCTCTCTCTCTCTCTCTGCCTGCAGATTATCTGAGAGCCGCTTGGCACTTGGGAATTTTCCATTGGCACAAACCAAGCTCTCTGGTGCCAGGAAAGGAGAGAAGAAAAATCAGACAAAATGGGCCCTGCTCTCCTGCCAGTCTCAATTTGGGAGACTTTTTCCATCC